CTTTACAATTCTTGAACTGCAGCTTGAATGTGGAAGGGCCCACCTGTTGCCAGGGGTCTCCACTGTCACTCCACGTCCCCTACTAGTCCGCACCTCACGCTTTTTTATCGTCCGTCGCTTGGCCTGGAATAAAATATGAAAAGTAAATTAGATGTGTTTTGCTTGCAGAAGATTCAGAGAACTGTACTGGATATGCAGAGATTACAGTACAGTACAGTACAGTACAGTAGTGAAAATTTTAAGTTTGGACTGGTACAATGAGCACAGCCTGCAGCTTACCTGGAGAGGATCTCAAGAGTTTTTTTTATTCCCTGAGCCTGGCCTGGGGCCAGGCTCGGGGAGTAAAAACAGTCAGATCAGTTCGCCTCCACAGTCAGATCAGCTCTGAGCGACGCCTCCGCCGGCATCGCAAGGGGCTCTTGGTGACGTCACGGCGGGCGCCGATTGGTCAGCTGCTACACGTGACCTCGGCCAGCCAATCGCCAGCTGGCTGGCGTCACCCACAAAATGGCGGATTTGGAGGCAGGGGGCGCCATTTTGTTTGTATCAAGGGCGCGACTTCCCCCCTTACATACAAACTTATAAACACAAATTTCTCCCCAATTAGGTGACCAATCTGGTCACCTCATATATCAAAAGACTCCCTGCACCTCAAGGAATCAGCAGATATGACTCAAAGCCGGATTTGGAGAGGAATAGAAGGGGGCTCCGTAACATCTTCAACCCTATGCAATACAATTCCATAATATTCCTCAACCCTGCAATATACAATACCATAATATGCCTCTACCGTATGCTATACAATATCATAATATAGTTTACTAGAGACCAACTAACACTAGTGGTCTCTATGAGGACAGGAAGCCGGCGGCTTGTCAAGGTCCCCCCATTTGCCTGTAATTGACCCCCTCAATGCTACAGGATACAACAACACACAAACACATGCGAGCCAAGCACCCTATGCAGACTTTGAGACCATAAGCAACTCACCAAGACTGTAGGTCGGCCGCGTGTGCCACGGGACATCCTGCTCGGCTCACCTCTGCCTTGCATACTTCCTCCACCTTCCCTGCCATTACTGCCATACTGCTAGTTGGCCAAAACATTACTTCATTATTTCTCTCCAATGTTAATTTTACAATAATATTTCCTAAACACACTAATATATTAGTGAAGGTTTATAATATTTATATAGTAATCTACATACAGTTAATTTAGAGAATTACATTAAGATGATAACATTATAATATCAAATAGGGTTAAAATTCTAGTAGGGATTTTCCCTTCAAATTTCCTGATTACCAGTAAAAGACAGTAATGCCCTCTCCATTATGAGATAAGAAATATTTATTAAAAGATTTAATTTTTCTATTAAAATCCTTAAAATACATGAAAAAACTACAATATATGGAATTTTAAGTAATACTTACATATATACAATATATGCAAATGTGTGCAAGTACCTAAGTGTAATTACAGGATGAGAGCTACGCTTGTAGTGTCCCGTCTTCCCAGCACTGTCATATAACACTTTGAAACTACAGAAGGTTTTGGCCTCCACTACCTTCTCACTTAGCTTGTTCTGACCATCTATCGCTGTTTGCACAAGATAACCTCCTAATAACTTTTCAGGCCCCTTTGTTTCCTTAGCTTGAATCCGAGTCCTCTTGTTCATGAAGTTGCTGGTTTCAGTATTCGCTTCAGTTTTCTCACCTTAATTCTCGTGCTACGTTGTTCATTTGGTATCATTTTGTTCGCAATAGAATTCCCTACAGGTGTATATGAATATAATGTCCAAAAGCCCGGCATGACTTCCCACAGCAAAGCTTAAAGTCAGTAAAAGTTACCCATGAGCGCACAAAATCAGTAAAATGTGTACAGTATACTCGTTTCAGTTATCTCACCTTAATTCTCCTGCTACATCATTCGTTTTGGTATCATTTTGTTCGCAATAGAATTCCCTACATGTGTATAAGCACATAATATCCAAAAGCCCGGCGTGACTCCCCACAGCAAAGCCCAACATTACCTGTGAACGAGCAACAATTTGCACATCACGGCCTAATGTGTATACTCATTCAGTTTGATAACATCAATTTTCGTCTTACATCTTTCATTTTGGTATCAAACTGTTCGTAATATAAAGATGCGTATTTTAAAACTAGTCCCATAATAATAGAACAATAACTATATAATTTTAACATTTTAAGTTTGGACGCTCAACATCACAAAAGAATTTCTTTCCAATATTCTGACATAAATGCTAGTGTTACATCTTTCATTTTGGTATTAAATTGTTCGCAATCAAAAGGCGCACATTTTAAAACTAGTCCCATAATATTAGCACAATAAATAGAATGTTAAATATTTTAAAATTTGGCCCAAAAACGTATTGATAATCTTTCAAGTGTTTTGACATCAAGTTTCGTGTTACAGTATATCTTTCATTATGGTATCAAATTGTGTGCAATTTAAAGGCGCTCATTTTGAAACTATCCCAAAGTCGATCGGATAAAAAATGAATTTTATACAAATATTTTTTTGTTGGACACGTTTTCGAGTCAAATCCTCGGTCTCGAGAGAAAAATTGGTGGCTCGTTTAAGCGCGACGAAAGTGTTAAATTAATTACACACCTGAATTATTGACAAGTGTAGTTGTCAAAATATTGGAAAAAATAATTAAAACCAAATTGGTAGAACACCTAGAGAAACATTACATACTGTAATAACAGACATTATGGTTTTCAAGTGGGAAGACCCTATGTAACGAATCTACTTTCTTTCATCTTTCTATGATAGAGTCACAGATTTTACAGGAAAGAGATGGTTGGATTGACTGCATTTATCTGGACCTAAAAAAGATTTCCGACCGAGTCCCACATAAGAGGTCGTTCTGGAAACTAACTGTAGGAGTGACAGGGAGGTTTCTAACTAGGATGAAAAATTTTCTAACTGACAGAAAAATGAGGGCAGTAATCAGAGGCAATGCATCGGACAGGAAAAACGTCCCAAATGGAGTACCACAGGGTTCACTTCCTGAACCTTGGAACTTTGTAAACAAAAATCTAAAACATTGCAAAGTTTGTAACCTGAACCAATAATGTTCATTGTCTACATAAATGATCTACCAGAAGGAACACTGCATTATGTGAACATGTTTGTTGATGATGGTAAGGTACTAGGGAAGATAAACATAGATTACAATCATGGCCTTCAAGACGACCTGGACAAAACTATATGGAGCACCAACTGGCAAATGGAATTTATTGTTAATAAATGCCACATTATGGAATGTGGAATAAGAAAAAATAGGCCTCACACAACTTACAAATTATGTGAAAAAGCTTTAAAGAATTCTGATGGAGAAAGATCTAGGGGTGGTTCTAGATAGAAAACTGTCACCTGAGGACCATATAAAGAACATTGTGCGGGGAGCCTATGCTATGCTTTCCAACTTCAGAATTGCTGTACATACATGGATGGTGAAATATTGAAGAAAATATTCATCACATATGCAGAGACCAAAGTTAGAATATCCAGTATTTGTATCAATTTCCTTATCTCAAAAAACACATCAACAAAACTGGAAAAGGTGAAACAGCATTCAACTAAACTGCTCCCAGAACTGAAAGACAAGAGCTACGAGGAGAGGTTAGAGGTGTTAAATATGCCAAAGCTACAAGACAGAAAAAATGAGGCAATATGATCATAACATACAAAATAGTAAAGAGAATCGACAAGATTGAGAAGAAGAATTCTTGAAACCTGGAACCTCACGAACAAGATGTCATAGATTTGAGCTAAACAACGCTGCCAAAAGAGCATCATAAAGTTCACTTTCACAGAGTGGTAGATGGTTGGAATAAGTTAAGTGAGGTGGTGGTGGAGGCCAAACCCGTCAGTAGTTTCAAAGCGTCATACGACAAAAGAATGCGGAGAAGATGGGACACCACGAGAATACTGTAGATCTTATCCTGTAATTTCACTTACAACTAAGTGCTTTCTACTCTCCCAAACATCTACATTAACCTAACATCTCCATTAATACTGTAACCATCTACTCTATAAACATTTCAATACCATCTATACTATTTCTACTTTGTTGTCTACTCCTAAATATTTCCCTACTCTCTAATTCACTAAAACATCTACTACCATCTATTCTAAAACCTCTACCATCTACTATTCTAAAATCTCCCTACTATATACTTCATTATCATCTACTCTGCATGACCTCCCAACCATCTACAATTTAATTCTCACCATTAGCTTTTACATGAATTCATCTACATCTACTTTACTTTTCTTACCTTTATTCTCACACTGCACAGTCTAGAAGCATCATTTATTAATGAGAATGATAAAATGTACGTCAAAATCTACTTACTGGATGTCGGAATCCTCGGGGTCTGCTTTCATTACCATTTGATCCATAATTTGGTCCCCAGGAGCCCACTACCACACCAGCTACTTGAAGCTGACCACCACCAGAAAACATCCTTCCCACTCCTCCACCACCTGTAATCACAAAAATAATGCACTCAGAATTTTGTTGTTACGAACAGCTGATGAAAGCAGCAAGTTGACAGCAGGTAAATTAGCACTTGGGTATGAGTTTGCACTGACAGAACATCTCTTCAGTTAAACTTTCCTTGACTTTCTTACCAATAAACTTTCATCTGGTGCACTACTGTCATTCAGTCATCTTAATTCGGTTTAAATTTTTGTATTACTTTCTCCATGTTATTCTTCATTATACAGTAGTTCCAACGTCAATACTTATCTTCAGTAATCATATTTTCTGTGGCTCATTGATAGACCTGATTTACACCTGATTGAAGGTTTCCGTTTCCTCTATACTGTCTTGTATAGCAGCAACATCACTGGAGGGAGAGACAAGGAAGTGGTCCGAGAGTCCCACACAAGACCCAGCCAAGTTCGAATCTGAGAGAGAACCAAATGGCACTGCCTCCAGTTCACCAAGAACTGGAACCCGTGAGCTGGGAAAGAACTAAATCCCTGGCGAGCAGACACATGGACCGGCTGGAAGCCCAGACCAGCCAGTCATCGAGATAAGCCAGAGCCCAAACCACAAACAGACGCAAACGGGTCACCACGACCCGTGTAAGGCATGTAAAAACGCGAGCCACAAGATTCAAACCGAATGGAAGGCAACGAAAGCAGCAAGCTTACAACCCCACGACAAAACTGAGCCAGTCCCTGAACCCCACATGAATCGGAACATGCCAATACTCGTCCCTGAGGTCCAGGGACACCATCCAAGCGTCCGATTCCAAAAGCAGCCGGACCTGGGACAGAGTCGTCATCCGAAAAGATGAGCAAAAGACTCAGGGTGGGGAACCCTACCTGAGGGACGCAGTTGTTTCGATCAGACCCAAGCGTACCCACTTCAGGATGACTCAACAGAGTGCAGGGAAAGAGGCCTGCCCCGCCAGCCCTGAAGGACAAGGAGCCACCTAACGCTCCTGGAGCGTTAGCCTAGAGGAAACGACCCGAAACGCCTATGAATCAGGCAAAAGCAAACAACGTGAGCCTCTCCCCCATTGCCCCGTCAATGGGGCGAACCATGAAAGGGCTGATGACCCTTATGAAAGCCTGACCAACGCTCAAAGCGAGCACTGCGCCGACCAGACAATGACAGCACCACAGGAGGGGCTGACCTCGAATCTGGCACCACTGGCTTACAACGACCGAAGGAACCCCAAACCCTGGCACGACACACGACACTTCCGAGCAGGACCCCTCCCCAGAGAACCAAGTAGTCCAACACAGGGTGGCAACTACCTTGACCTAATCTTGAGATGATTTCGGGGCTTAGTATCCCCGCAGCCCGGTCCTTGATCCGGCCTCCTTTTCGTTACACAAAACAAAAAAGCTGCCTGCAGAAAAAACAAAACTAGATGAAGCTGCCTGCACCACTGCACACTCTGCAAACAGCAACGGACCAAAAGGGGCGAAAATCAAACAGCCAGGACCCAAGCAGGTTACAAAGAGTGGACGAGCACTGCCTGTCGGTATGCGAGGCAAGAAGCAAAGAACAGAGATATCGCTTCCCTCAGAATTGGCGCAAACAACTTTAACAAGGCAGCCAACGCCCGAGCTGCCGAGGCAAACGCACCAGACGTTGGCCTGGAACCCAGCTCCTCCACATCCTCCTCGAGCCAGTCTGAAGACAGCTCCAGCAGGAAAAAGAAGCACAAGACCGAAGCCAAATGCCCACGAGCTCGCAAATCCTTAGCGACCAGAGATGCTGAATGGGAGGGAACCTGTACCTGGCTGACATTCCGAGGAAGCACAGGAGCGAACAAGCACACATTAAAGTGCTCAAACTTACCCCCCCCCCCAGGTAAACCGGAACGACCGTAGTCAACTCCTGCTACTCAAGCGTGCGGGTCTGACAGAATGCATGCCACACTCACAATGAAAAGAAAGGGCAGTTTACCAGCCAGGAAGACTCCGGCATCTTGTAACGCACCTAGAAATTCAACAGAGGAGCCAAATTCAAAAGAAGAAGGATCCATTATCGAGGCATAATCCGGGTCTAGCATAGGAGGGAGGCCGCAAGGATCTTGCATAATCCAGATCTTGCGGGAGGCTACAAGAGCCTCCCGCACCTCCTGAGGCGGGAAGCCAAAAACCTCCAGGAGGAGGGAACCGAGAAACCCAAGGGAACCCAAAACAGAACCCAGGGAGGAGCCGAACCCATACCAAGCTCGTACAGGAAGGGGTGGATAGGAAAACCCCTCCCCTTGTAACAACAAGCCCTGCGCCAAGGGTACCAACACCCAAGCTGGGTCAAACAGGGCCCAAGCTCCCCCAAGTCAACTCCTCCCCAGCCATGGGATTCTTAATTTCTACCATACCTAAGTTGAAGACTGCATACACCTGTTTGGATGGACACTGGACAACCATTCGCTGGAGAACCAGCAAGAATATGTACAACACAGCATAACTAGGAGTCAGCAGAGAGAGCAGATCCACCCAGTAGAAGATAAATCCATCAGAAATGCATTGTAATTAATTCTTAGGTTATGGTATGTACCCTGTACGAGTATGTGACTAATGCAGCAAGACGTGGCGAGAGATCTTTGATCAATTGTTCTACAATGTTTTGAGGTCTAGACTGGCATCTAATCTAATCCACCATAAATGGTGGGCAAGGTACCAGAAGTGTTAACATAAAGATTAATGTTGAAGGATGCAGCAATGTGCCCCAATTTTCATGCGTGTAGTATATTTTGATTAAGTGACATGAGATTATGACCTTCCTCACTCTATGGCACATTATTAGTGAGCCAAGAGACTTACAAATATTATTTATATATAAGTAATATGTTAATTTGAGGCTGATTGAGTTGTTGAACAAACATACCATATTAATTTGATAATTTGTAATCATTTTCGCCTCGGCAGTTACCGATTATATAAATCTATAGGTTGTGTATGTATTTACGCGGAGGTTTATTTTAACTCCAGAGGAGATATTTACATACATGACATTAAACAATATTCTGGAACAAAGTACTGTACAAGTGGTGAGCTTGGGCAAGCTAAAGGAAGGTATATTCAGAAGTTGGAAGAAATGTTATGAGAGAGGAATAGAAGTCCTTGGCTAGTTCTTGAGTAAATTAAAACAACAATTGAGTAGGGGGGGAGAAGAATTAAACTGAAGATAATTGTGATAAGAGGGTATCCGAATATCTGCAGCTGAGACACATCTTCTCATGACTTCAACAGCAGACATGACAACAGGTGCATTGATGTGAATTTCCCCCCCACAATCAAGGTGAGCCAATCTCCTTAGACATGAGGCTTATCCAAGTATTCTTTAGCGTTGCTGGCATGACCGAGGTGTCAGCTGGGGGGTGGTACCTCTTGTTTCCTTTTTTATTTTTACCGTTGAGGAGGATTAGTGTAGATGATTGCTCAAGGCTTCACATGGCTGAAGGCAATCCAGTTTGGACCCCTGGACCCCTGGTCTCTTGTTGCTGCTTGGTAAAAGCAGCACAATTATTTATACCTCCATGTTAATGGTAATAGTAACCTCCCCTTCCCTTACACACACTAGAGATATTGTGAGAAAATGTACACTACATAGACAAATATCAGAATCACATTTAGATATATGGACGGAGTAACAATCTGGTCACAACATTTATGAGACCAAAATTTATATCTGCAGCAATACAAGTGTGTGGTGCCTAAATCTCAAGCAAATCAAATTAGAAAAGGTGCAATTACATGCTACCAAATGGCTTCCAGAACTAAAAAACAAAGCTATGAGGAGATGGTGGAGGCAATATATATGCCAAAGCTAAAAGAAAGCAGGAAAAAAAGCAATATCACCACAACATACAAAACGGTGACAGGATTCAACACCGTTGACATGGCGGAATTTTGGAAATTTGCAACTTTATGAATAAGATCCACAGAGTCTACCTAAAGGAACAAGGGTGCCATAAACATGTACAAAACTTCTCTTTTATGAACTGAGTTGTAGATGGTTGGACCAATTTAATTGAGGTGTGGATGCCAAAATTACCAGTAGTTTCAAAGCATCATACGACAAAGATTGTAGGCAAGACGAGACACCACTAGCATAGCTCTCGTTTGTTAACTACACTCGGGAAGAACTCTGATTCACTTGGCTAATGCAACATCATAAAAACCCTATGTTATAATGATTAACTGCTTTTAACGCCTTCACTTCTTATGGGGTTAGGATAAGACAACAAAAACCACGAGTCTTCAAACATTTTCAAATTAGATAATCCTTACCCGTGTGTGTGTTGGTCCTACCTGGTGCCCCTCGTCCTCTACCCCTGCCAGCGTAGTGGGAAAAACCAGGATATGGAGGAGGGGGGCCTACTTTATGAGTCCCAACCCCAGGCATTGGTTGCAGTGGTGGGTGGGCAAACTCTACCCTTATACCCTCCAGGATAGCCTGTCTGCATCTTTCAACTTTGGCCACCAGGTCTATTTCTCCATCACATACCTAGAGGGAACAATTGACTGACATCAGGTTTTTTGTTAAATTAGTGGGTAAAATTATTGGCAGCCAATTCCTAATGGAGCTCATAAGTGGAAAAATCTGAGAAAATATTCTAATCTTGAAAAATATATATTGTACAGTATAAAATAAACATCATAGGCAAATCCTGGGCTCAACTCTGTGATCCCATAACAAATTCTCGTCCATCAATATCACCTCAGTTGAGGATTCTCACAACGCCAACATTGACACAGATCACCACACCTCTCTCTATACACAACTAAGGTTAACATTCCCAAACATATACTGTACTGTATTACAAAACCTCAAAAACATGTATGAATAAGATTGTAAATATAATTAGGTTACTGAACTTTATATTGAAAGTTAATTAATGCAAATATGACTCATTTCACCACTTTATTTAAAAAATTGATAAATTAATTTAAAGTTGCAGTACAGGGTACATATGTTCAATAATGCAACATATACATACATATTCAATCCTTATTTGTTGAATACTTTAGCAATCCGATAAACCACTACCACAATGTGGCTTTTTGCAGTAATTGGTCCGATGACGCTAAAATTTGTCATCCCATCTCCAAATTTAGAATTTCCCTTTCTTCATCTTTTTACAGTATTTGTGAGTAAACAACACGCCACTTTTAAAATAAACTAGAACAGTATGGGTGGAGCTTACGGCTGCCATACTGGGTGTGTGCGCTGACCAACCAGTGATCACCTCCATTGACCAAGTCTCAACAAAGCATTCCAGACCTGCAACTTTGTTTCATTCTAAATTGATCAATTCTGACATAACATTCTGTGGCTAATTATTTGTGATAGTGTACATAAGGTCATAATAGAACAGAAAAGCCCCAAATTTGTCAGAACAACTGGCAAGAGTGTCAACCACCACCACTATAGTGTTCATAGGTTTTTCTTTAAAAAAAAAAATTAAAAGGTTGACTCAATGTAAAATTTGTGCTTTGCTGAAGATTCAGAGCACAAGTACTATAATAACGGAGTACTGTACTGCAGACCTTTAAAGTGCAATTCAACAGTTCGGAGAACAGATGGATATACTGTACTAACATGGTCTAAACAACAATTGTTAAGTACAGTAAAATGTTGAAACTTTTGTCTTTGTTCCAAAATATACTTGATAGTAGCAATGTTTTTTTCAACATTTTTTCCTGTACAGTAAACAGGCATGCACTCCCAGTATAGGCAAGTATGTATTAACACTTTGGCGTCGTAATGACATTCGTGCAGTCATTAAAACAATACACGTAGTTTGGGACATGACATTAACGCCGTCAACAGTTAAGTTTTGTTTATTCTTATTAGTAAGTATAAACATTGTGAAAGAGAGGGTTTAACATAGGGTTGTGTGCACACGGGAAATGTCCGGCCTACCTTGCGGTGCGGGTGGCCCGCCGGGCCAGGCAAAGTATTAAACACAAGATACATAATTAAAACATTAAGTCATACAAAATGTACATTTTTTGGGGGGGGGAGGGGGGGGCAGGAGCCCCTTGAGGCTTCCTGAAGCTTTTATCACTGATTCAGTGCCATGTTACTAGGTGCCATCAGTTATGGAGTTCTACTGGCATCCCACGAGCTTCTGACCACGAGCCAGAACCTGACTCCCCCCTCAGAGGCGCAGGGAGCTGTGGCCTATGGACACTTTACATTTAATCTTACTTGTCACCACCAGGAAAGGCACTCAGGAAGTTAGGCGAAACAACACAGACTACTGCACGATTAATATGAGCCCATAGGATCAAAATTGCCAAAAGAACTCCGCCAACAATGAAAACAAACCACCAAAAATTTGCGAAACTAGTATGAGCTAGTTTGCTGCACTTCCCCTATTCCCTCACCTGGGGAAGGAGGGAGGCAGACCGGGTCAACTAGCCCACACCACTTGTCAGTTCTATTCTGATGGTACCTAGTCGCTGTTGTACTCGCTGACTCGTTTCCCATTTTTCAAGTGGTGTTTCGGCTTTGTGGCTGCTCTTATACATGGTTGTGTAGTGTGTATTCAGTTCAAGTGTGCTTGAAGCAGTATGTAATTACCTAAGTGTAATAACAGGATAACAGCTATGCTTATGGTGTCCCGTCTTCCCAGCACTCTTGTCATATAAAGCTTTGAAACTAATGATGGTTTTGGCCTCCACTCCCTTCTCACCGAACTTGTTCCAACCATCCAACACTGTTTGCAAAAGTGGATTTTTTTTTATATTACTTTGGCAGGTTTGTTTAATTTAAATCTGTGAACTCTTGTTCTTGAAGTTCCAGGTTTCAGGAATTCTTCCCTATCAATTTTGTTGATTTCTGTTACTATTTTGTACGTAGTGATCATATCGCCTCTTTTTTTTCTATCTTCTAGTTTTGGCATAATTAATGCCTCTAATCTACCACAGAATGGCATCCCCCTCAAGAGAAAGTTTGGAGCAGAAAAGCTTTGAAGGGAAAACCGTGAACCCTTGGCAGGCCCAGAAGGTTCAAATGACTCTGCTGTTGAAGTGAATGAGACTACCCCAGGAGAAGGCCAAGCTTCACCTCCAGCTAAACCCTTGACCAAACTTCAAAACTCTTGGATGATTCAGAGCCAGAACCAGTATGGGAAGACCAGAAGCAGGGTAAACCACACCTACAGAGAGGAGGCCCACACTTAGTCCAGCAGAAGGTCATCAACACTTCCACTTCTGTGTCACAAAACACCACAGGAGACTAACTGCGGGGCATCCTAATGATCACAATACCACAAACACTTAACATGAGCAAATCTCGCACACAAAACGGCAATAGCCCGATAGGTTTTCAAACTCGAAGCCAACTCCGTCAAAGCAGACACCCAGAGAGAACAAACCTCACATGACTCGGGGTCGTAGGTGTCACCGACCCAGCAGGCAGCATGGCAGAAGAGAGAATGATCATCCAGTACAGGGATGATGAACACCCTTTAAGTTCGCATAAATCCAAGATTTATTTGGCTTTAATCAGATTCAATGTTTAGGTAGATGGGTTCAGCACGGGACACAGGGCTGATTTAGTGCTGGGAGTATCCCATCACTATGATTACTAAATTGTCTTCACACTTCCATGGAAATAAACATTTCATTCATTCACTCAACAGCTCAGTTGATAGAGCTTAGGCCTCACACGCGTGGGGTCTACAATTCGAGTCTACTAGAGCCCAGGGGCCAGATTCACAAGTAGTTATGCAAGTACTTACGAACGTGTACATCTTTCCTCAATCTTTGACGGCTTTGGTAACATTCATTAAACAGTTTACAAGCATGAAAACTTCCCAATCAACTATTGTTATTGTTATACACAGCCTCCTGGTGCTTCGGAGCTCATTAACTGTTTAATTATTGTAAACAAAGCCGCCAAAGATTGAGGAAAGATGTACAGGTTCGTAACTGCTTGCGTAACTTCTTTGTGAATCCAGGTAAAGGTGAATGAAACTATTGATTAGCAATAAAGACAAAGTGGTTCATAACAGCTTTTATTGCATTAACGCATCATGATCAGCTTGGACTTTTTCTCAAGTGTCAAGTTCTCATTGTTTATCTTTGCCTCTCCCTGCCTGCCCCCTGCTCCCCCCCCTCTCTCTCTCTCTGCCCCCCCCCCCTCTCTCTCTCTCTCCCCCCCCCCCCCCCCTCTCTCTCTCTCTGCCCCCCCCTCTCTCTCAGCCCCCCCCTCTTTCTCTCTCTGCTCTCTCCCTCTCTCTCTCTCTCCCCCTCTCTCTCTTTCTCTCTCTCTCTCCCCCCTCTCTCTCTCTCTCTCCCCTCTCTCTCTCTCTCTCTCTCCCTCCTCTCTCTCTCTCCTCCTCTCTCTCTCTCTCTCTCTCTCCTCTCTCTCTCTCTCTCTCTCTCTCCTCCTCTCTCTCTCTCTCTCTCCACCTCTCTCTCTCTCTCTCTCTCTCTCTCTCTCTCTCTCTCTCTCCACCTCTCTCTCTCTCTCTCTTCCAAGGTCTTCTTTATGATTTTTTATCTTATGTTACTCATCTGTTTTTTTCCTTTCCTTATCATCACCTGAATTTTATATATGGTAAAAGTTTTCTTTACACATTCTCACAAAGTGCCTATTAATTACTTAACCATTCACTGCACTGCGAAGAGTGCCACATGGTGCTGGATCGAGGGTGGGCAGAGCACCACATGGTGATCGTAGGTATATCGTAGGATTCAAAGCTGGCGCACAGTGACTTGGGTACAAGATGGATGCCTGAGGCCTCCAGTGATCGTCCGCCATTTTGAAAAAATCTCAGCATGTACCACAGCCGTGGGGAGCCTCGGTTTCAAAGTAGCAACCATGTCTGAAGCATCATCAACGAGATTTTATGGCATATTTTGATTAGTCATTCATGGAGCATCTCACTGCAGAGATGAACCGATACGCTCTGCAAATCATTGCCTCGGGAATTTTATCTGCCTCTCGAATGACACGTTAGAAAGACACGGTGATTTGAGGAAATGTGTGTTTTTAGCGTTGTGCATGATTATGAAGCATGCAGAAAAACACGTTATCGAGGATTATTGGGACAAAGACAGCCTTGTTCCAACGCCCCTTGTTCAACAGGTACATGTCACGTGATGGGGTCCTGCTGCTTCGCAGATGATTCCACTTTGAAAACAATGCTGATGAAGAAAGACACGACAGGCTACGGAAAGTTAGTTCTCTTCAAGGGACGACTGGCATTCAAACAGTACAGTTCATCAAGGTGGCACTGGTTTGGATTAAAGTTCTTTGTGTTATGTGACAAACTGGTATTGTCATGGACATGATATTGTATTCAGGTGCAGATATTGACATACCAGGTCAAGATCTACACGGGTTCTCGGGGAGCATCGTGAAAACACTCATGGAACCGTTGCTGAACAAGGGGCATATCCTGTACACTGACAACTACTATGTCAGCCCTTTGCTGTCCAGATTCCTCCTTGACTGCAACACCGGCATATGTGGCACTGTCAAGACACTCATGAGTGAAATGCCAGTGTTTAGCATTGCTGTTGCAGTGGGTGAATGCCAGCAGCGAAAGTGTGATCAAATGTTATCCGTGCACTGGAGACAGACGCGAGGTGAATATGTTGACAACTATTCACACCAGTCCAATGTTGGACAGTGGAAAAGCCAACTTTGCAACAGCGGTGAAAATGTATAAACCCGATTGTGTCATTGACTACAACGTAAATAAGCGTTTAGTATATACAGTAAATCTGATACGATGGTTGGTGCCATCGAGAGCGTGAGAAAATGTGACGTGGACAAAGAAATTGTTTTTCCACCTTGTTGATGTTACAGTGCTGAACTGTTTCAACACATATCTCGTGAAATCTGGCAAGAGACCACTTATCCGTTCATTCAGTGTTGCTCTAGTGTCGCAACTCCTGCTGAAATATGGGGTGGAGGGCAGTGTTGTGCCACGTGGGGTGCCAGCAACAATGCCTCACGCACTTCCTGACAGACTCAGGTGTAAAGATTACCTTGCTGCAGACAAGCTTTGTTATATGCCAACACGTGAACAGGAACACGTGAAAAGGGTAAACGTGCCTGCGTTGTTTGCAATAACACACAAGGTAAAGAACGGAAGAGCACCATCTGCAGATGGTGCATTGAGTGCAAAGTTGCCTTGTGCCATGTTGACAGCTTCAGTGACTACCACACACTCGTGCACTTCTAAGTGTTCATAGTATTGTATATAGTCTGAGATAGTGTACAGTGTAAATAAGTTGTAAATTTAAATAATTGAACATATAACATAGAAAATATGAACAACATTTGTGGACACTTTTGTGATACATGTAACAGTTTCTTTGAACAGTACGGGATGTTCTATTGCCTTATTATTGTTAACTTGTTCAATATATTGTACATAGGATAATCCAGAAAAAAACAAAAGAAATGCATTTGTAATTGTGCGGACAAAATTAACATAATAATATTTTTGATAACTCGTGCCTGTTGAATCTGGTGTGCGACTGCCTCCGGGAGTCTACACCACAGGTGAAATTGGCAAAAATATATTCCCAGAGCACTGAATCAGCCAATCTAGCTGGTGTATAAGACCCTTTTTTATTTTTAAATGCATCAAAAAATTGCCCTGCATCTAATGCAGCCATATTATGGATGCAAGACCAAGTGCCATAGGCTAGGGAGCCAGACAAGCGTACTGGGTAAGTTCGCTAGGCACAAAAAACATTGCTAATAATAAAATATTAAAAATAAGCCAAGTTATCACCGTCTGTTATCACAAACCTACGAAAATTTGCTTTCGATACGTTGGCACTTATGAAGGAAGCTCACAACGTCACGCCATATTAGCCAGCATACATAACCCACGCCTGGTATGTCATACATTATTAAACTACTGTGTTACCTTTAAGAAACATTTATTCATTATCTAAATGAAAAATGCTCCTAGAAATTTGAAAGGAATGTTAAACATTCCTCCGCCTGTCAGCCATTTTCAATGAGTGAATGACAACAAAACCAGAGCGCTGTGATGGTGCGCCACGATCGGGTGCGCTGCCCTGGTGGCCCGATGCAGCAACACAAAACATCACAGCCAGAAATAGAAGTTTCACATCTTGTATAGCAATTCTCTTGCCCAAAATATAAATAACTATACAGCTGATCTTAGGAGATGGTAAGAGTTGGGGTACAAAAACACTTTAAAATATCTTTTAATAAATATATGAAGAAACACACTAAAATAGTTTTTTCCGCAAAATATCCTTGTAAAATAAGGGTGCGTCCTAAGCGAGGGTGCGTCTTTTGAGCTGGAAAATACGGTAATTAGAAATCTTTAAAAAAAAATTACCAATCTACAATAAATGTTTATTGTAACATGACTAATGTTTCCAGGACCGAGTGAGACACTTGAGGGGGAAACACTACATGCCATTCTTGGCCTTGCAACAAGGTCATAATAATGGTACCGTGCCAGGCCACATTACTACCTTACATATATATACAATTAAATCTACTGTTTAAACCTGAAAGACAGTCCTCATTCCAAAACCAAAACTGAAGTTAATGATTGCTTAAGCATACTTCTGTCCTTGAAAATGCAACCCCATTCACTTGACCTACAGACAACACAGCTATCTACTACAGTAGATACCTGTTTTAGATAGATATCACATAGATACTAAGATAGATACTAAAGAACTACATCAAGGTAGACATGTTTAAAAATTGGTAACAAATCAAATAAGGAAAATTGCAGAAGACAACTGGAGTGGAGGAAGCCACCTCACAGCCACTGGTACAGTATAAGGGTTAAACACATCCACACCATAGTTCACTTACCTCAACCAAAGATCGTGCGCAATTAGCCCTGATCAACTTGGCATGGAAGAGCTTCCCGTCATAAAAGAGCCACGGGCAACACATGAGCCACGGTACTGGTGCTCCACAGGCATCGTTGGCAAACAATGCTGTCTCGACCCCCATCATGAAGAGAGCTGCGAGCTGACAGCCACGTGCTGTCACCAGAGGAAGCTGTCAAAAGGGTGAGGCATTCATGTGAAGTTTTTTATAGCTTAGTAGAATATTTTTTTATTCACATTTTATTAATTGGTTACTTGGCAATACCAAATTAAAAATAAAGAGGCAAAACACACAAATAATTTGATTATGAACTCTTCAAGAGTTCTCCAACATACTATACAAACATCCAGCACCGAATGTAATAAAATGACCCTTTCTGGGTGAGCGCCGGTGGCTCCCTGAAGCGATATTGTTGATATAGCTTCTTAATACTTAGCCGCATCACACAAATGAGTCACGCCACAGACCAGAGCCTTTTGTAGAATTTCATAATTGAATCAGTGACAGAATTAACTGATTAAATATTACAAAATTGTTCCTTTTACATGATATTCCAACTACAGAGTCAAGGGATGCAGCCCTCCAGTAATTCAAGCTCTTATTGGAAATATACTCCACTGTTCCACAGGATTTTTAGGATTAGTATTATATGAGCACCATAGCAAAAGGTACAGTTTTCTGCTCAGTGTGCAGTAATCTGTTTCATTCAAATGACAGTTATTACGATTAACTAAAATACAGTACTGTATTGTCATACGATGTTGCATTACGGTTAGTTCTTGGGAAGGGGATATATGTGGTGTTAGAAGGGACACAAGATCTCATCTCTTCTTAGGGCAATTGTGCACGTGTCCGCTGCCTCACTATAACCAGCACAACAGTACAAGACTCGGGGAGGGTCATTTGACAATTAAATCAGGCAATCAAACATAGGGTGGTATAGTAATGATGAACCACAATAGTTAGTATACAAGACAAGATTGCAATTAATACTTTAATTAATTGCAATTAAGATCTTTAACTCCTTAACTCTACAGTTACATTTCAATGTATTGTCTTATATGCAAGAAAAAATCATTCTGACATTTTTTTTAATCTTTTAATATTGTTTATTAACAACCTGGAAACATCAAAATGCAGTAAAAAGTCTGTACCTATTGTGGTTTAGCTGTAGTGGCCCAGAGAAGTTGAATTTGTCCATAGAAATGAGGCGAGGTACTGCATAGGAATAACTCGGTCCATTTAGTTTTATGATTCCTCACTCTCAATTCTTTAGTGTTCACATGTTGTATGTGTGTCAATTATGGAATGCATTTTAAATAATTGGATATAATTTTATATAATATATACTATATAATTTATGTAATTGGACAGAATTGTTGCTAGGCAGGGAAGTAGATGAAATGTATGCCAATTTTTTTAAAATATACGAGGAAGGCACACAAACATTCATACCAAAACAGAGATGCAGGGCCAGAAAACAGGATTGGTTCGACAGAAATTGTGAGAGGGCCAGAGCCCAAAAGACACAAAAATGGAATCAGTATAGGAAGAGGCCAAACCCCCAAACATACCAGCGATACAAAGATGCGAGAAACAACTATACGGCAGTAAGGAGAGAGGCATTAAGAAATTTTGAAAAAGGGATAGCGGATAAATGTAAAACAGAACCAGGCCTATTCTACAAATTCATAAACAACAAATTGCAGGTAAAGGATAATATCCAGAGGTTGAAAATGGGAAACAGATTCACGGAAAATGAAAAGGAAATGTGTGAAACATTAAATGAAAAGTTCCAAAGTGTGTTTGTACAAAATGAAATCTTCAGAGAACCAGACACAATAAGAATTCCAGAGAACATCATAGAGCACATAGAGGTGTCTAGAGATGAAGTGGAAAATATGCTAAAGGAGCTCAGTAAAAACAAAGCAGCTGGCCCAGATGGCATTTCACCATGGGTTCTGAGAGAATCTGCATCTGAGCTCAGTATTCCACTTCACCTGATCTTTCAGGCATCCCTGTGTACAGGAATCGTAGCAGACATGTGGAAACAGGCTAACATAGTTCCAATCTACAAAAGTGGCATCAGGGAAGACCCCCTCCATTATAGACCTGTATCAATGACAAGTGTAATAGTGAAAGTATTGGAAAAACTAATCAAAACTAAATGGGTAGAACACCTGGAGAGAAATGATATAATATCAGACAGACAGTATGGTTTTCGATCTGGAAGATCCTGTGTATCGAATTTACTCGGTTTCTATGATCGAGCCACAGAGATATTACAGGAAAGAGATGGTTGGGTTGACTGCATCTATCTGGACCTAAAAAAGGCTTTCGACAGAGTTCCACATAAGAGGTTGTTCTGGAAACTGGATAATATTGGATGGGTGACAGGTAAGCTTCTAACATGGATGAAAAATTTTCTGACTGATAGAAAAATGAGGGCAGTAATCAGAGGCAATGTATCAGAATGGAGAAATGTCACAAGTGGAGTACCACAGGGTTCAGTTCTTGCACCAGTGATGTTTATTATCTACATAAATGATCTACCAGTTGGTATACAGAATTATATGAACATGTTTGCTGATGATGCTAAGATAATAGGAAGGATAAGAAATTTAGACGATTGTCATGCCCTTCAAGAAGACCTGGACAAAATAAGTATATGGAGCACCACTTGGCAAATGGAATTTAATGTTAATAAATGTCATGTTATGGAATGTGGAATAGGAGAACATAGACCCCACACAACCTATATATTATGTGAGAAATCTTTAAAGAATACTGATAAAGAAAGAGATCTAGGGGTGGTTCTAGATAAAAAACTATCACCTGAGGACCACTAAGAATATTGTGCAAGGAGTCTATGCTATGCTTTCTAACTTTAGAATTGCTTTTAAATACATGGATGGCGATATACTAAAGAAATTGTTCATGACTTTTGTTAGGCCAAAGCTAGAATATGCAGCTGTTGTGTGGTGCCCATATCTTAAGAAGCACATCAACAAACTGGAAAAGGTGCAAAGACATGCTACTAAATGGCTCCCAGAACTGAAGGGCAAGAGCTACGAGGAGAGGTTAGAAGCATTAAATATGCCAAAATTAGAAGACAGAAGAAAAAGAGGTGATATGATCACTACGTACAAAATAGTAACAGGAATTGATAAAATCGACAGGGAAGATTTCCTGAGACCTGGAACTTCAAGAACAAGAGGTCATAGATTTAAACTAGTTAAACACAGATGCCGAAGAAATATAAGAAAATTCACCTTCGCAAATAGAGTGGTAGACGGTTGGAACAAGTTAAGTGAGAAGGTGGTGGAGGCCAAGACCGACAGTAGTTTCAAAGCGTTATATGACAGAGTGCTGGGAAGACGGGACACCACAAGCGTAGCTCTCATCCTGTAACTACACTTGGTAATTACACTTAGGTAATTACATATAAGAACGTACATAACGGACAGCATTCAGAAACTTGTGTAAGGAATCATTCAGAACTTTGTATACCACATATGTCAGGCCAATCCTGGAGTATGCAGCCCTAGCATGGAGTCCATATCTAGTCAAGGATAAGACCAAACTGGAAAAGGTTCAAAGCTTTGCCACCAGACTAGTACCCGAGCTGAGAGGTATGAGCTATGAGGAGAGGCTATGGGAATTAAACCTCACTTCGGTGGAAGACAAAAGAGTTAGGGGGGGACATGATCACCACATTCAAGATTCTCAAGGGAATTGATAGGGTAGATAAAGACAGGCTATTTAACACAAGGGGCACACACACTAGGGGACACAGGTGGAAACTGAGTGCCCAAATGAGCCACAGAGATATTAGTAAGAACTTTTTCAGTGTCAGAGTGGTTAACAAATGGAATGCATTAGGCAGTGATGTGGTGGAGGCTGACTCCATACACAGTTTCAAGTGTAGATATGATAGAGCCCAATAGGCTCAGGAACCTGTACACCAGTTGATTGACAGTTGAGAGGCGGGACCAAAGAGCCAGAGCTCAACCCCCGCAAACACAATTAGGTGAGTATACACACACACACACACACACACTGTACCGTAAATATGTAACTATACATGTGCAGCATGTATCGTACCATAAATATACATGTGCAGCATGTATCGTACCATAAATATACATATGCAGCATGCACAGTACCATAAATATACATGTGCAGCATGTATCGTACCATAAATATACATGTGCAGCATGTATCGTACCATAAATATACATGTGCAGCATGCACAGTACCATAAACATATATGAGCAGCATGTGTTTGTGTGCTTGCCTAACTGTATTCACTCAAATTCATAATTAATTCATAGGAATTACAAATCTAGAGTAGTCTCGAGTTAAGCTGAGAGCCAAGGTGCCAGTGCCACAACCTCCAGACAGCTAAATAATCAGAGTTAAACTAATTATCTAATTACCAACTTGAAAGCCAACTACTCATATCTATAGATTTTTTTATTATGTAAGAGATATTGTAATATGGGATAATAACTGAAGTAAGGAGCAGACTAACTTTGTCACAAACCTGCAAGTCTTGCAAATAATGTGCATTGGTGAGATCGGGCGAGAAAGCGGTCACCAAGAAGGCATCCAACTCTTGCTTTCTCAGTACCGGACCATTAGGAGTGCTCATAATATATCTGCAATAATAAATGCTTAGTCAACTAGGAAACAAATCAACCATTACCAAAACTACAAAATGTTATGCTATAACAACTAACTCATTTCTGCATAACTGTATATATACACACAGACCAAAACTGGAATAAATAGTTGTTGTATGGAGCCTGTAACTCAAGAAACATCAATAAACTGGAAAAGGTGCAAGGACTTGCTACTAAATGACTTCTGGAACTGAAAAACAAGAGCTATGAGGAGAGGCCAGAGGAGTTAAATATACCAAAGCTAGAATATAGAAGAAACTAGAGGCAATATGATCACTACATACAAAATAGGAGGACTCGACAAAATAAACAGGAATTTTTGAAACCTGCAACTTCAAGAACAAGAGGTCATAGATCTAAGCTACAGAAACAAAGGTGGCAAAAAAATATTATAAAGATTTTTGCAAATATAGCAAATGATTGCGAGTGGTCTATCTATAGTGCTGAATTACAACCACATAGAATATTTAGGAACTTTGAATATTAAGTGGCACTCTTAATCGTGCCACTGAATATTCTGTCCACTCGTGCTCCTGTCCACAAATGACAGGAGCATTGGCAATCATCTGAGAATGACAGTAGCAGTTTCAGTGTTAAACTGCTACAATATTGACTACCAAACTCACCTCAACATTGAAACAAATTTAATTTTAACTCTTACTTTAGTCAGTATACGGTAACAATGACAATAATTTTGAGGCAATGGAGTAACTTAAACCTGCGTTCTGGTGATTCCCAGACACCTGCCGTAACCAACTTGGCCACAATGGTGCAAAAGTCGACCAACTCGGAACTCTACTAAATTCAATGGAAGGCTCTGGAGGACCCAAACTAGAACCCAACCAGAATTTTACAGTCGTCCTGACCACACTATGGCTTATGGCACAGGCTTAAGCCCCACTTAGATCGCAATGAATCACAATGCGTGATATATTAATGATAATGTGATTAATTTATATATCATTAATATATCGCACATTAATATGTCACTCCATTTTGAGGCAATGGAGTGACGAACTCGCATTCTGGTAATTTCCAGCCTTGTCTGTATATTTAAGCATCACTGGCTTATAATCTTTAATAATCATAACTTCAAGATCTTTCTCTCATTTCTACTTTGCAGTTTCACACATTATCCAGTTGATATTCGGTAACATTACTGTCATTACCCAAGCTCAGTAACACAATAGAACAAGAGGTCATGTATGTGAACTTGGGGGCACAGACGAGTCATGATGTTATTTACATTTTACTTTATTATTTTTAGCTCAGGAACTAGGACCCGAACTCGCAAGCACATCATCGTCAGGCCAAAACCGACAGTAGTAACTTGCAAGCACATCATCGTCAGGCCAAAACCGACAGTAGTAACTTGCAAGCACATCATCGTCAGGCCAAAACCGACAGTAGTAACTCCCAAGCACATCATCGTCAGGCCAAAACCGACAGTAGTAACTTGCAAGCACATCATCGTCAGGCCAAAACCGACAGTAGTAACTCCCAAGCACATCATCGTCAGGCCAAAACCGACAGTAGTAACTCGCAAGCACATCATCGTCAGGCCAAAACCGACAGTAGTAACTTGCAAGCACATCATCGTCAGGCCAAAACCGACAGTAGTAACTCCCAAGCACATCATCGTCAGGCCAAAACCGACAGTAGTAACTTGCAAGCACATCGTCGTCAGGCCAAAACCAACAGTAGTAACTTGCAAGCACATCATCGTCAGGCCAAAACCGACAGTAGTAACTTGCAAGCACATCATCGTCAGGCCAAAACCGACAGTAGTAACTTGCAAGCACATCATCGTCAGGCCAAAACCGACAGTAGTAACTTGCAAGCACATCATCGTCAGGCCAAAACCGACAGTAGTAACTTGCAAGCACATCGTCGTCAGGCCAAAACCAACAGTAGTATCTTGAGATGATTTCGGGGATTTTTTAGTGTCCCCGCGGCCCGGTCCTCGACCAGGCCTCCACCCCCAGGAAGCAGCCCGTGACAGGTGACTAACGCCCAGGTACCTATTTTACTGCTAAGTAACGGGCATAGGGTGAAAGAAACTCTGCCCATTGTTTCTCGCCGACGCCCAGGATCGAACCCAGGACCACAGGATCACAAGTCCAGCGTGCTGTCCGCTCGGCCGACCGGCTCCCTGCTGGTCGAGTCCGAGGCCGAGTCCCAGTAACTCGCAAGCACATCGTCGTCAGGCCAAAACCGACAGTAGTAACTCACAAGCACATCGTCGTCAGGCCAAAACCGACAGTAGTTTGAAAGCGTTATACGACGAGTACTGGGAAGATGGGACACCACGAGCGTAGCTCTCATCCTGTAACTACACTTAGGTAATTACATCAAGGTATGAACACATATAACATACCTAAGAACAGTTGCCATTATAAGCAGATGCTGTGGAACGTGGGAGGTGTGGAGCATGAGTGGGGAGTCGGATCTCATGCAGCTCAGGAATGCACGCAGACGCCGCTTCTTGTCATCTACAACAGACCTATAGCAAAAAATATAACATGTTAAGCTTTTTAATATAAATAAATTTTTATTATTATTCCTTAGGCTTTATCTCCAAAACAAAAAAATCTTAAACTCTAAAGAGTCTTGTTAAGAGTTAACATTCACCCACAAAAACAATACCAAAATACCCAACAAACGCAATTCCAAAACACGTAACAAAAAATATTCAAAACGCCAAACAAAATACTGTATTACAAAACTCCAAAAAAAATTCCAAAATGCCCAACAACAACAAAAAATCCCAAATACCCAACAAAACACCAGCACTGAATGTAATGAAACACTATTTTCTGGGTGAGCACCGGAGGTTTCCTGAAGCTATCATACACTGATTAGTGCCATACTGTGAGGTGCCATTATTCACGGAGTTCAAATGGCCTACCAGGGACCATGAGCCAGAACTTGGTCCCCTCAGAGAGGCACAGAGCAATGGCCTATGAACAGTTTACATTTAAAGTTTATCATAATTGTCATCGCCGGGAAAGGCACCCAGAAAGATAGGCGAACCAAAGCAGACTACTGCATGGTTAAAAGTGAGACTCCAGCCCCAAAATTGTCAAAAGAATTATTCCAACAATGAAAACAAACCACCAAAATTTTGTGACACTAGCACCCGCTAGTTTGCCTCACCTTCCCCCTCATTGGGAGTAGGTGGGAGGCATACCGGGTCAGCCGGCCCATTCCACCATCAGTTCTATGATGTAGGAATGCACTGACGTCCTTGGGGAGGAAGGGTGTCAGAGAGCCTCTGGAGCCCACCCAGAAAGTGGCATTTCTTTACATTAAGCGCTGGTTTTCTGGGAAAGCCCCATCAGCTCCCTGAAGGTAATTACCATGGAGAAGGACAATAAAGGACAGAAAATAATAAAGGACATAAAGCAACACAAGGCTGCTGAGGACTAAGGACATTCACAAGATGTTATCGCCGCCAAGACCCTGTTCGACCTCTAAAACTCAAGCACTCAAATTTCAGCCAGAGACATATCAAACACTGCCGTTAGAGCGGCATATTTTAGAAGTTCGCTAATCCTAAGCCCGCCAATCAGGAAAACGCCCTAATCCGGCTAAAATCGTGTCTGAATAATGTTATATCCGTATCCGAACAGAAATGTCCAAAGAAGCCGGACACCGGATATTTGTCCAAATCAGCGTATAGGTCCGGATATAAAAATCTCTCCAAAACCAAGGGTGGACTTGCCGCAGAATATAACATGTGACCATTGACCACTGAGAGATGAACAAGTGAAATGCCCAGCCTAACACTCATTGTACACCAGCAGGAAAGGAGGGAGTCAGGCAGGGTTCAGGCAAGCTGGGAGGCTGGAGTGGGGTATGAGTGTGTGGAGGAGTGAACTGTGTACCAGAGGTGACTGGCATTAAGCCTAGGAGGGTGTTGGTCAGGGAGGAGGGAGGGTTCTCTCTCTCTCAACCCTCTCTAGGAGGGTCAGAGGTGGTGCAGTTGTTTAATCATTATATTTTTTCTTTTTGCCGTGGAGAACTAGTTACGAATATTAAAAACCATACCATAATATTTGAAAAGTAATTGGTTGGCTATTTATTCATTTAACCCTTACACTGCTCAGGGGTCCTCGGGACATTTACACCCCTGTGCGCAAGAAAAAAAAAATATTCAAAATTTTGTTTTCGTCTTCTAAACATGTTAATTTGTGTCCCCTGAGCATGGGAAAAATAAAAAAACAATCGTAGGTGACATATTTTGGGCGCAATTGACCGAGGAAGTCTGGAAAAAAGTGGGCGTTGACAGAGCGGTCGTCAGACCCGGTCAGCGTCACTTGCGCTGACAGATGGGAGTTGCCACAAAGAGATTATTATCTAATTGTTTCAATGTCTCCGATTGATTTTTTCTTAGTTTTTTTGCAGTAATATTATTCAATAGTGTGTATTGTAATATATTTATATAATAAAAGTGGTGAATAATCGCTATACTCAAAAGTATGATGTGCATATTAGTGATTCAATTATTATGTTTATAAAACAATAAACAAATAGTTTTGCTACTATTATACTCTATACACAGGTTATATATAAGTATCTGCATGTTTTGGTCACCATAACGAACCACTAAGTTGGTATTGAGAGTTGAAAAGCAACGAAGCGTTACCGCCACACACCAGCCAGCCACTCGCTGCCACTCCCTCAACACACGCACTAAACTTTCTTCCCCCAACAATACCATTTGTGGTGTTATTACACTATATACAGATGTTATATATAAGTATGTATATATTTTGTTCACCATAACTGTACAGCTAAGCTGATATAGTTAGTTCAGGCACTAAGAGTCGTCGCTAAACACAGATGGCAGCTCCCTCACTCATTCAAGGTCACACGCACTAAACTTTCTCCCCCAACAATACTGTTTGCAGTGTTATTACCCTATATACACATATTATATATAAGTATCTACATGTTTTATGCACTGTAACTGTACACCTAAGCTTGTAGTGCGCCCAAAGAGCATAGTGGCCACCCTCTAAACAGCTAGACAAATCGTGCAGACGACGTCACCTCCGTCACCCATATGGCTCCTCCCAGCATAATCCTTTTGCTGTTATTACACTAATACACACATATGATGCTGTCTCCCTCCGTCTCTCAGCATCACTCCTCCCACAGCGCTAATTATTACAACAATCCTGCTATTATCACAACCCTGGTTATTTATATCACAGTCATGGGTCATCTGTAATATTGTCATCGCTAAATAATAACAATTATATATTTATTTTGACATTTTTCGGCGATGCTGTGGTCACAAGCTGAACAGCAATGCTGTTCGCTCATGCTGCATGCGCCAGCCTTGGTTGCTCCAACAGTACTGTGCCTCTCACACCTGAGAATATTGCCCACGATTTTTTTTTTTTAAATGGCATCTGTTTACAAGACCCCTGAGGAAGCTACTGTGAACCCCGTGTAGCCGCGGGCCATTTGAATCGGGCCTGGCACCCTTGGGCGTATATATGCGCCATGCGCACCGTGGGACATGTTACTCAGGGCGTATATATACGCCATGCGCATTTTAAGGGTTAAATATTTACAAGAAAATAAAATAGGGTTTAAAACAAGGCACATATTACGGTGTCATTGTACAGCAAGTGAGTGAGTATTATGGTGTCATCACTTGTGACATGGGTTAGGAGGATGATGGGGAGGGGGGGGGGGTAATCCACCCACCTGCCTGCCTGCCCACTCACCTGCCAACCACCAAGCCCATCTGCCTGCCATCCACCCATCCAGCCCACCCACTCACCCACCTGTCTGCCTGCCCACCTACCAGCCAGGCAGCTAACCACCCCTCCAGCCCCACACACTAATTATAGTGTGTGGAAATTCAAATTATGTTGTTTGTGGTACAAACATTTTTTTAAATGTTCACTTTTGGACTTGCGCGGTGAAACGTCCTTTGATCCGGAAGACCCGCTCATCTGGCCCAGGGACCTTCCCATATAGTCTGGACTAGCGAGCCAATACAGTACTTGGGAACATCATGAGCACGAGGGTAGACAGCAGGCTGGCTAGACTTAATGGCACTGTGGATGACCCAAGAAATGTGCGCCCTGGAACAGGGAACCAGGGAAACCGAATCAACACACAATCAATCCACGGAAGCAGAACCGCTGGCACAAAAGTAGTGGAGCAAAGCTGCCACTAGACAAAGCACATTATGCACAGCAGCCGAACCAACCCAGCATCTACAACCAAAGGACACCTCCGGTAGCCAGCCGACTCATTCTTCTCAAGAAAAGGATCTGGTTGCTACCTAACAAAACACCCACCAAAGGAACATAACCTTCATGTACCATAGAAGAGCATGTAATTCTCATTGTATCTGGTTCTTTGAAGATTTCATTTTGTACAAACACACTTTGGAACTTCGTTTAATATTTAACAAGTTTCCTTTTCATTTGCAGTGAATGTTTCCCATTTTCCGCCTCTGAATGTTATCCTTTACCTGCAATTTGCTTTTGATGAATTTATTGATTAGACCAGGTTCAGTTTTGCATTGGTCCGCTATCCCTTTCTCAAAATTTATTTCTGCCTCTCTTCTCATTGCTGTGTAATTTTTTTGCACTTCTTTTTATTGCTGGTATATCGAGCGTTTGGCCTCTTCCTATTTTTATTCCGTTTTTGTCCTTTGGTCTCTGGCCCTCTCGCAATTTCTGTCGAACCAATCCTGTTTCCAAGTTCTGCATATCTGCTTTTGTATTTTTTGTTTTTGTCTTTTTTGCCTTTACCATATATTTCACAATTCTTGACACACATCTCATTTATTTCCTTGTCTAACAACAAGGCTTTCCAGTCAAATTTCTTAAAGAAATTTCCAAGTTCCAAATAATGTGCTTTCCTGAAATCAGGTTTTTCCAAACTGCTTTAACTTCCTCATTCTCTTTCAGATTACAGGGGTACCTCGGTTTAAGAGTTTTATCCGTTCCTGGAGACAGCTCGTAACCCGAAAACTCATAAACCGAAGCCAATTTCCCAATAAGAAATAATGGGAAATGAATTAATCCATTCCTGACTACCCAAAAACCCCACTTCAAACTAAATTTTATACCTAATTCATCAAAATTTACACTACAAAACTATGTTCAAGTTATTACTTACCCTTGCTGATGAATGCTGTTGGTATATGGAAGATGGTGAGGAGGGGGGAGGAGGAGAGGTGTTACTGTTTGGAAGGAGAGTCCCCTTCCATTATAACATCAGGCAGTGAGGACTTCACTGGTGTGCACTCTCTGGCACGTTTTGCCTGCATACCACTAGGACCTGCTTGTGGCTCACTGCTTGCTTGTTTTACTAAGAATCTGTCTAACAACACTTGTTTTTCCCTACATTTTAACACTTGTCTGTAATAAGACATCACATTGCATTTAAAAGGTCAATGCAACGGCCTGCTACAGCTTTATCTGGGCGAGTTTTTTCAACAAAACTTTGCAGTTCTTCCCATACTTCACACATTTTCTTAATGAGGAAGGGACATCCTCTACTCACAACTATTTTCTTAGGTTGAACCTTACCACTGGCTTTCTTGGGACCCATTGCGAGATATATAATAACTTTTATGTTCAAATGACCAAATATCCAACAAAACACTGTAAATTCTGGTGAAGAATTGAGGCGAGATAGTCACTGGGAGCGAGTTACTGGTAAACTGAGCAGCGATCGCCGTGCCACCACACGCTAGTCGGCCCATACGCGTATCAACACCCTCGTATCCTGAGGCAACCCTCATATCCTGATACAAATTTTCCGAGCAAATCCTGCTCGTAACCCGAAAAACTCATAACCAGGGGCGCTCGTAAGCCGAGGTACCACTGCATATTGCATTGCATGTCTAATTTCCAACAGAACATAAGTCACTTTCCCAAGGGAGGAAGATACCGAGTGTCAAATGTCCACTCTTCTTTTTTGGTGTATATAAAATCCATCATGGAGGGAACATCCCCTTCCCTCGTCATAGCTTGATTAATTAACGTGTCGATACAGAAATAACTCCAGGATGAGGGTTTATGAATTTACAAGTCCAAAAGTCCTCTGTTTTAGCCACATAGGCCTCCCAGTATATGGGTTTAAAATTGAAATCACCAATTACCAGCAGTCATGATCTATTTTTATCTTCTCTTGCTATAATCTCTCATGATTGTTGTGAGGCCCTTCTGTCTAATGTTTGTGCTTCTCTGCTTGCTGCAGTTTCTGGCTTCCTTTACCACTTCTATTTTCCTTCTCCTTGGCTACTTGTGTATAGGTGAGTTGCATATCCTCCTTGCACTGTTCAATTCCCCATGTTACTTCCTCCATCTGTACTGACAAAAGCAGTTTTCCTGTTGGATTTCCTTACCTAACCCTATTGTATTCATGCTTATTTAGATTTATTTTAATTTCTTCAAAAGTTATTTTCAATACTTTATTTTCCTCATGTAGGACTTTATTTTTGGCTTCCCAGAGAGTCTTGTCCTTGCATAATTCTATTATTTGCCCGTCAAGACTTGATATCGTTACTCAATTGGTCATTACTGTCTCAAATTTCTGATCATTTCCACATGATAGTTAACAATAATCTCTAATTTTGCCACCTTCTTGTGCAAACTGCTCATACTAATACTGTCCTCATTAAGGGGCCCAGTGACAGAGGAGTATTTTTCCAAATATGAAATATAGTGAAAAATGTTAAACAAATCTCCCGTTATTTGGCATCAGCGTTGTAAAATTTTCATCCCAATATGTTAGGAAATGGATTTTTTGCAAATTTTTTAAAAACAAACGCATGCGCGACGGGTGGCAACCGGTACTGATAATAACGATAACACCTCCTATTTACTGGCAATCAGGGATAAAAAGATGCAAGCACCTATCCAACGCACAAAGAAGACAAGTATTACATCAATTAACTTCAGTATCTTTGATCTCACTCAATCAATGTTGGTGTATGCAATTTTCAGGAACATGTTGCCCTTCTCCTTATTCTTCACTTTCCCTTTCTCAAGCGATTATGTTTGCTTGCCTTTCTGTACCATTTTACTGGTCTGCCTACCCCTATCACTTTATAGAAAAACAGAATTGATTTCTTCTTCTTCATTCCTGCTCTCATTTAGATGTTTTGCCTCTACAAGGTTCAGTTTTAGCTTCTCTCTCTTCTATTGAAAGATCTCGTCTTAACGACCATACTTTTCCTTCCTCACTGCGTTGTAATTTTCTAGCATTCCTTAGTACTTCTTCCATCTGTTTGGCACCATTTAGGGCGATCCGCAAAGGTCGATCTTTTCCTTTTACGTACTTTCCAATCCTCCTGTAGTCGCAGACATTCTCTATGGTAGTAAGACCTTCCATGAGGCCAACAATTTTATCTACTACTTTCTCTTCTTCTACAGCTCTTTCAGATCTAGATGTTATCTCCTTTTCTTTGCAACCAAAAATTATCAGGGACGTACTCCGATCAACTGTGTTTTGCACCAATTTAGGATTTAATGCCAGTTCCTTTCTGACTTCCTGCCTAATGTTTGTTTTATCCTGGTTGCTGCAGTGTTTGGCTTCCTTTACTGCTTCTTCTATTTTTCCTTCTCCTTGGCCACTTGTGCATAGGTGAGTTGCATATCTTTCTTGCACTGTTCTATTCCCTGTGTAACTTCCTCCATCTGAACAAATCCACAAGGGCCGTGACGAGGATTCGAACCTGCGTCCTGGAGCATCCCAGACACTGCCTTAATCGACTGAGCTACGACAGGGTTAAAAAGAGTTGAAACCGAAGTTCTACTGAACTTCCTCCATCTGTACTGACAAAAGCTGTTTTTCCTGTTGAATTTTCCTATCTAACTAATTGTAGTCATTTATGTTGAAATTTGCTATAACTTCTTCCAAAGCTATTTTCTAGAGATTATTTTCCTCTTCCATGGTTTTGCAATTTGTTTCCAATTGATTCTTCTCCTTGCATAAGTCTTTCACTAACCCCTCAAGTGTGTATGTATGTGTGTGTGTGCGTAAATAAATAAATTTCAAACCACACTAAACGTGGAAATAACATTTAATTCACTTGCACCATTAGACTCTCGAACCCACAACCACAGAAGCAGAAGCTGCCTTTAGGGATGGTATTATACTTTGTATTAGTGAATAGATCAGTTGTTACAATGTAAAATAACAATCTAAATCACCTTGGCTTTCAGGGGTTAAAACTAGACAATGTCAACAAAGAGGCACTGAATAATCTTACCCGAACCACAACCTCTGGACGGTAGGCACTGCCCAATTGATGGGAGTAGCATCTACTATATCCGCAGTGCGGTAGGGATTATTTTTGGTGTAAATCCATTCGCGGATCTTAACTTCAGGTACCTCAGTGGCCAAACCCTCTGTCAAAACAAAATATAAAATAATTGTAAATTATTACAAACTGTAAATGATGTGTAAAGGAAAATTAGATACAGTGTGAATTCAAGACAAAACTAGAAAGTGAATCAATTGCAAAAGTATGATCGTACGAGACATCTTTCTTGTATTCCGAATAACATCGCTAGTCTCACAAAATTAACTTCAAACGTGATTCTATGCATTTGAATTCATGCATTTTAGGCTTGTCATGTGTGTTTATGATTGCTTCCGAGTGTAAGTGACTTGAGAAATCTTGTATAATATTAAGTTTTCAATTACAAAATCTAAGGCATTGACGACCAACCATCATGTTCATATTTAATGAAGACAAGGGCCCTCAACTTCATGGTCATTACTCTATTACCAATTTCAATGGGATGCAGAGGCAACAACCAGGAAGGAAAAGGACAACTATTACAGTATAGGAAATGATGGTTATAATACTGAGAGTGACCTCGAGATACACCTTATCCATTCACCACATATTCCACACTACATACTGCATCATCACACTACAAGAATACATTAACAGCAGCAGCTCATCGCATTATACTACTATACGTTTAAAGTACAAAAAAAAAAAAATCAAACTTACAAAACTAATGTAATTAGCCGTCAATTCCGTACCAATCCTCTGCACTGTCCCCACTTGATCCCCGCTTCCTTACACTTACCTTGTCTGTTTATCATCATTTTGCACTTCCTCTCCCATTCCAACTTTCAAATTCACTTGAAAGCTCTTCCTCACTCCCATCGTCAATTCCTTTAATATTGTACGACTAAATCATCTCCATAAATTCTTATCAATCGTACAGTTTACTGTTATCAGTAAAAAAAAATTTAAATTACATTTTCTTTCATTTCATATCCAACCCTCCTAATGCAGAAACACATGAATGGCTGAAACGACAGAGGGGCCTTATTGGCCCATGTGAGGTAGCTCCTATAGGGCCATCTGAAACAGCTCCTATTGACCCATGTGAGGCAGCTCCTATAGGGCCATCTGAAATAGCTCCTATTGGCCCATGTGAGGCAGCTCCTAATGAGCCATGTGAGGCCATGTTCCTCACCGTACTGGTCTCGGTGAGGGAGTTATACCCACCAACACCCACATGTATACATGTCTACTTATACACTAGACAACTCAACTACCCTAAATGTATTATGCTCCCTGGAAACCTAGTCCATAACTCATCCCGTCCTCTGAAAATGATGATACACTGACCATTTGCTCATATGTACAAGGAGCAAAAATGTTTTGTATTGCTGGACTACCCCAAATGCCATGCTTAGCAAATGGAGCTAATGAACCTAATATAATCTAGGCCTAAAGTAATTCTAGGTCCAATATATGCTATCATAGGCCTAATCTAGTACACTGTGCACAATAATAGGCCTAGGAAAGTTTACATTTAGTTTTTGGATATTTTTCCATGCCCTCTTGAAAATTAGAAGTACAGTACATCACACAAACTTTGCTGGCAGCAACATTCCATTCTTGAACAAGTCAAACACGGTGGATGCTAGGAGTAATATTTTCGAGGATTGGCCACCACAAATCTACAACCCTACAGATAAAGCAGTAAATCCCCTAATTATTTTCTGAAGCTAAACTTATTCAACTTGTACAGTGTGTTTTGTGTTCTATTGTGTTGATATAATTATCACACAACTGACACTTTTTTCATTCTGGAAACCAAGTTATGTAATGTCACAAACTTTTCTAGCAACTCTCTCCTAATTTGCTGAGATAGAATGATAGTAAGTCTTTTGAAAGAAGGCCATGCTGTTAACCACTTGTTAACCCGTGTTCTTCACAAGTGCACAAGACTGCGGCACGAGCATAAGACAGACTCTCACATGTTTTGCCCCACAAAACATATATGAGCCTGGAGGTCACAGTTGTGGATGCGAGAGGTTAGGACACACAGTATTCTATTTTGTAGTCCTCTACCATTCCTACCCAAAAGTGCCACAAAACATGCAACTGCCTGAAAGAAATTAGGGACCCAAAGGTAACAAGGCAAATAATCATTGATCTGTTATGAACATTGACTGCCAACTTGGTGATCCAAACCACTGGAAGTTCTAGCTAACCAACCCTCCCCTCAACTCACAAGCCACCTCAAGAAAACCTCACTACTATTTGGGAAAGAAGGGGACAAGAAGCTACTCAGGACCCCACCAGAAAGGGGGTATTTTATTACATTTAACACAATTTCTGGTAATCTATCATAAAGACTCTATGGGTATTCAATTGATGAAGCTCCTATTCCTTGACAATGTGACAACATATGTTGCCATCGATTACCTTGAAAGATAATAGAGCACAGATCGAAAATGTCATGAAATGAAGTCGATGCAAAAGATAGATAACAATAAGATTGCAGAGAATTTATCATGATGTGTGTTGATATTGAATGATAATAGTGATACAGAATGATGATTTTGAGTAAATTTGGTGACAAGGGGAGATGAAGGTAAAGCAGACAGACATGTTTTGATTATCAAATGTCAACAATACACAAGAAGTGGCACAGAATAAAACTAGATAGGGTCTGTTTGTTGAGATCAAAATGTATGCATATTTCTTGGGAGCAAATGTTTGACGTTCATATAATATGTGTCACTGGAAACACTTTGGGTCAAGTTGTATAATGTGGAGCACTACTGTGAATGATTTTGGTGGTGCTAATTATATGCGTTGCTTCAGTATGTAGGATGTAAGAGATATTAACCAGGTGTTATTTTGAGAATATTTAATCTTTTTTGGCTATACATCTGCTCTCTTTCAAGATGCTGCCTGTCTATCCCATGTGAAAAGCAGGTTAATAATGATGTTAAATTGACTATATAGATCTATAATACACTAAAATGTAGAGAGTTTACAATTATTGAGAATCTACTTCCATCAGTGCTTGAAGAAGTGTGTCAAGTGGTGCCATATTAGTGTCGAGTATGAATCTTGTGACCCTTGTTGAGCCATGTGTCATCCTCAACAAGAGTACATTGAGCTACCAGCAGATAACTACCCAACAACCTACACCTCCAGCATCCTTCTACTCTGCTACAGATAACGTTCTGCCTCTTTAACATCCAGATATGACCAACAGGTCAAAACACACAGTTTCCCTTACCAGCCAGCACAACACTGGTTCCACCTTCCTGCTCCTCAATGTCAGCCCCATAATATCCTTTTATTGATGTCTATATTCTAGACATGCTTCATTAATCCTCCTTCCTTCATCAGCTTTATTTCTTTGTCTAAACAAATAAAGGGAAACAAAGATATGGTTACAATGAACGCACCAACACAGGTCAATAATCCCTGGAATAATCTTGACATTTTCCCTCCTATTAATATATTTGTGACCACGTTACTCCAGGTCGTTTAACTAGCACTTGGTGGCACACCTGTTTTCTAAAGTTCTCTCTAAGAGTGATTACTTATGTTAATACAGTTGTCTGAGCTTCTTCCCTGCCTGATTGTCCCTTCTAACTCCTGGCCTATGGAAACCTTCATGTGGTTTGGGGCATTCCATATCAGCCATCGACCAGGGTTAGGTACCCAGAAAGGTAGGCATAACAAAAACCCCACTTGGTAAGAAAATTGCAACCGAAGACAGAACAGAGGCAGAACTCCTTCAACACCCAAGGAAACAAGCAAACAATCAAACGTCATACACTGCTGCCACATCGCTTGCTTGCGCACCCCCTCCCCAGGGGAGGATGGGAACCCCGGACCTCCCACATCAGCTATTCACACCGCTAGTTCGGAGTCTGAGCATCAAAAACAAAACGAAACTGCCGACCAGAAGAAGGGTGGGTGCCATGGAACCTCAGGGGCTCTCTCAGAAAAGGGTGTTTCATTACATTCAACGCTGGTTTTCTGTGGCGAGGCCCATTGGCTCCCTGGAACTACATAACCAAATATTGTACAAGGAAAAAGAGGGACGTATCCGGGAGGCAGCCGCCACGCGCTCAACTCCCAAGTCGAGACAACTGGCTGCAAACTATGACTTAAAGCCACACATGAATGACCAGGACCACGAATGTTGACCAAATAACAGGTGGCCAGGACACTGTTCAACCTCCAAAATCACAGCGCACGAATATCAGCCCAAGACATGTTACCGAACATGGCAGCCAAAGCAGCAAACTTATGAACGTCATGGACATGAGGATAAACCGCAGTCTGGCTAGACTTAACCCTCCGGACAACCTAAGAGACTCGAGCCCTGGAACAGGGAACAAGGAAAACTAGATCATCCCAAAGCGCGTCCACGGCCACAGAGGCTGAGACGGGCAGATAACAGCGAAGAGCCACAACCAGACATAAAACATGATGCACCACCAGCTTGAATAGCCAAGCATCAATGACTCAAGGGCCCCTCCGTAAAGCCACCATGTCGGTTCTTCTCCAGAAAAGGAGACAGCTGCAACCAAACAAACCGACCACCAAGACTGAAGGAGCAAAAATCCCTACACCGGAGGAGAGCATGAGCTCGCCAACCTGACCCCCCAGAGGCCAATGCCAACAAAAATAGAGCCTTGGGAAAACAATCTTGAACCGAAAAGCCACCACAAACTGAGGAGAAAGAAAAGAGAGCACCCTGTCCAAGGACCAGGACGGCTCAGGCAGTGTATGAGCAGGCCGGAGGTGAAACAAAGCACGAGATAGCTTACGGAAAAGGACGGAGGTAACATCCACCCTGAGCGCTAGCTGAAGCGGCTCCGCCAGCACTGCCAGCACAGGACGATATGAGTATTCGGCATCAATGACGGTCCTGAAAAAGCCAAGAAAGTACAAAACAACCTGATCAGAAATAGAAGACATCCTACGAAGAGACAGAAAATGCCAAAAAGATCGCCAGAAGACTTCATACTGTCACCAAGATGAAGCTAGCAGGTGGGACACCATCAAAGAAGCCACCTGTTCACCATACAAGTGGTGAAACAACCGCGTCAAAAAGAACAGACA